GAAGTTTGCCGGAAGCTCGTCGAGAGTTCGTTGGGGGTTCATCGGAAGTTCACCGAGAAGTTCGCCGGAAGCTCGCCAAGATGTTCGCCGAGAGAAAAATTGGCATACCAGAAAGAGATTGCTTGTTTAAATGTCTTAATTATCATAGTTAGACCATAAGTTGACTTAGGATTAGGAGGTAATCTCACTAACTCAATTAGGGGCCAATTGGGCCCTTAACAAGGCTGAATTGGGCCGGTTGAAATAGCCCATTCAGCACCTGAAGTCACGGTTGGCAGTGGCACCGCTTGAGACTCAATCTCCTATATACTCTAGGTGGTGGTACCGCCGGTAGTTAATACTGTCAGGCGGTGGTACCATCCTATCAAGCGATGGTACTACCAGAGCTCAATCTTTGAGCTTTGTCAAGCGGTCGTACAACCTAGAATGAGTGGTGATACCGTCCAGTGTCAGTCTACAGGAGGTAGTACCACCCAATAATGGCATTGGTATTGCTAGTACCCCCGAAATCCGAGGATGTGACACTTTTTGGCTCCAATTCTGAAGTCATTATGGCCTATAAATACTCCACCCTTTTCTGCATGAAAGGGCACGAAAGTGTCACAATATCTTGAAGTCTTGGGGTGTTAAAAGTATTGTAAAAGTACAAAGAGTCCTCCTCCTACTTTTCTAGTGTTATGATCATTCAAGAGAGGTATGAGACTTGTAAGGGTTATCTCCTAAACCCGTAAAAAAGAGAAAGCATTGTAAAGAGGTGGTTGGTCTTCGCCTATTGAAGGAAGACCATTAGTGAATGCCGGTTACCTCGACGGAGGAGGAATCGAAAGTGGATGTAGGTCACAATGATCGAACCACTGTAAATTTCGGTGTGCTCATTTCCATTCTACTTTTCATTACTGTCATTACTTTCTAAGTTAATTGCTAGTTCATTTACTCTAAAGTCAAGCACTTTTTGAGATTGGTTTTCAACAAATGAATATTTTATAAAACTAACGATTTTTTTTGCTACACTAATTCACCCCCCCTATTAGTGTCGCTCTTGATCATAACAAGGGCTACGACGATGCTCCTCAAATTGCTACCCAAAACTTCATACCTGCTATCTGAGGAGGAGAAGGGGAGAGGAGAATATGAGGTGGCAACCAAGAAACCTTTAGCCTATGTATGTTTGGTTCTCTCATATTTATAGAGGCCTCCTATTAACTTAACCCTAATGGATCCTATCCTATTGGGTATTGGATCTCTATCCAACTACCCAAGTCTCTTAGATTAGTGGATCTCTATCCAATAATCTCTCATTGGCTCTTATTGGATCTCATCCATAGGATCCAATAATTCATGAGCTTATTGGATATCCAATAAGATAAGGACTCTAGCAGATATCTCATATCTGAACCTCTACTCGTTGAAATGCTTACTATATGTGTGTGACACTCTAGGCTCAATATCAAGTTGGCCATAAGTCATACTTGTCAAAACTTCTTCTAGCTCAATGAATTATTATCTTTATAATAATTTACTCGACTTATCGATTACGGACGTACTAGGCCACTACGCTGCAGTCCCTAGAGATATAGGGGAATCCAATCCTTTAGACTTATTTGTCCTAGGTTATTATGTATCTATAGTCCCTCATCCATTTAAGACCCCAGAGACTGTATATTGGGCATGGTACTATCAGGCCTATACAATTTCTATCCGAGTCTCGCTCTAATCAGATTCTCTTGGAGAACTCTTTATCTCTCAATTCGAATGACCCTAGCTAGGGATTTATCTAAGCATGAATACATAAGATATTCCTCTTACAACACCAAGAGTGGATGATCCTCTATCGACACTCAATGGTTCTTGTAAGGTTGGCTACCACTCCCGATAACTAGTTGTGTTAAATCTAGAACTTCCAAGCTTATAAGTCCGGTATAAAAGAATGGAGTACTCATATAGGACATCTTTGGTGTCTCAAGTCTAAGAACTAAGTACACCACTAGGACAACGAAATCGTTGTTTGATAATGAGATATTATTAACCATCCACTATTCCTTGAGTGGCTCAATCAGTGAACTCATTATCTAATGAACACTTGCACTGTAGCACTAGTGTCCCCGCACGAGCAACTATGAGACCAATTACCTCCATTATATAGACGAGTATATAATACACCAGTCTATCTGGTTATCTCGATGTCTCTCTCGAGTAACCTATGACCAGGATTATTTAGGGTCTGTGTTTAAAGGCGAATCATTCTCATTATCATGATTTCATCACGATCTGATTCTCACTGCATAAATCTATAGACATATATATATGCAACAAACAATATAAAGTGATAAAATGTCAAAATATAATAAGTAAAAAGAATGTGTATCATGTCACACGTGCCATCACTCACATGATTAGCTTACAGGGCACCTATGACTAACAATCTCCCACTTTATCTAAAGTGAATCACCTATGTGTCCGATCCCCATCGGACCATTGTGATGCTCAAAGACAATATGAGACAACGACTTTGTCAGTAGATCTGCGATGTTATCTTCGGATAGAACTCTTTCCATCGCTACATCTCCTTAGGTCACGATCTCTCTAATCAGGTGGAACCTCCTTAGAACGTGCTTAGACTTCTGATGAGACCTGGGTTCCTTTGCTTGAGCAATCTCTCTGTTGATAAACTTCTTCATTCAGACTCCCTCCTTTGCTACCTCTGTTGCAACAATATACTCCACCTCTATAGTTGAGTCAGCAGTAGTATCTTGCTTGGAACTCTTCCAGCATAGTGCTCCTCTATTCAAGGTATGTATATATCCCGAATTCGACTTGTTATCATCGACATCGGACTGGAAACTCGAGTCTATGTAGCCTTCAACCCTGAGGCTACTTCCTCCATATACTAGTAAAAGATCCCTAGACCTTCGTAAGTACTTAAGGATACACTTTACTACTTTCCAGTGCTCAAAGCCTGGATATGCTAGATACTTGCTCGTGACACTTAGAGCATGCACTATATCAGGCCTAGTACATAGCATGACATACATGATAGAACTTATCGCTGAGACATAGGATATCCTATCCATGTTCGTCCTTTCTTCAAGAGTCTTTGGGGACATACTCCTAGAAAACGATATCCCATGTCTTATTGGTATGAGACATCTCTTGGAATTTTTCATGTCAAACCTTTTGACAATGGTGTCTGTGTACCTGGACTAAGACAAACCAAGCATCCTCTTAGATCTATCTCTATATATATAAATCCCCAAGATATAGGACACTTCCCCTAAGTTCTTTGTGGAGAAGTGTCTAGATAACCAAGCTTTTACTATTGATAGTATTCCCACATGATTCTCAATAATCAGGATGTCATCCATATATAACACCAATAAGGTAATACAACTCCCATTTACTTTCCTGTACACGTAAGGCTCATCTTCGTTGAAGTCATAAGACTTGATCGTCTCATCAAATCTTATGTTTCAACTTCAGAAAGCTTGCTTCAGTTCATAAATGGACCTAAGCAATCTACACACTATATCTGGGCAGTCCTTGGACACGAATCACTCGGGTTATATCATATACATCTCCTCATCGAGTTTGTCATTGAGGAATGTGGTTTTTACATCCATCTGTTAGATCTCATAATCATAGTGTGTCGTAATAACTAATATAATTCAGATGGATTTTAGCATGACTATGGGTGAAAAGGTTTCGTCATAGTCAACATTTTATTTTTAATGATATCCCTTAGCTACTAGCCTTGCTTTATAGGTCTCTACCTTTTCATCTACTTCGATCTTCTTCTTGAAGATCCACTTGCAACTAATGAGTACAATACCTTTGGGTGCATCAACAAAGTTCCAAACCTTGTTGGAGTACATGGAATCCATCTCAGAATTCATATCTTCTTACCACTTTCCGGGGTCTATACTCGTAATAGTCTCCTCATAGGTTTGAAGATCAATATCCTCAACATCCTCTCCTCTAATATGTCTCACATATCTCTTAGGAGGATGAGATACTTTGTCGGACCTACGTAAAGTCAGAACTTGTATGCTAGGTACTTGAATAGACTCGGGCTATGAAGTGGTGCTTGAGCTAGGTTCTCCAATCTCATTCAACTCTATCACGCTTACATTATCTCCGTCAATCACACTAAGCCCAGAAAGGTAGGTAACTCTTGTCGATCACAATTCCTTGTGATTCCCATCCTGTTCAGCCTCCAAATCACCATGGTCTCGAGGGACTCGACCAATCATGATGTTTGATTAAGTCAACACTATCGTTATAAGATGAGTCTGATTCGATAATATACCCTCGAGAGACTCGACCAAGCATATACCATGTCCTCATGTCACCGATGACTTCTCTATATCATAGGCAATATAGTGAATCGCGATATAAGTGAGCCTCGAGAGACTCGACCAACTCTACCTACGTGGAGAATCGGTCCCTACCTATAACATTGGAAGGCCACGTGGGTAAATCTAATTGTCTCACGTTTACCGACTTAATATTATCGAGAGGAGGGATTTTGATTTGGTCTCCTAATATGACATATCATACACATATATATTTAATATATATCTACATCGCATACAAATTTAATATATAATCCTTATTCAAATATAACTAATTATTCTTACAAATCAATATCATTGTAGTGCTCGTACTTATAGATCAAATAATTTTTTAAAAAATAATATCGAAAGGTACTGATAAGGCCATTGTCCCTTATCAAGTACCTATATCTAAACTTTGATACATGATTATATGATTTCAGTTCTTGATATTAAAATGTTCACACTTGTGGTATGAGGTGACACACTGAAGGCCATCACATGTGAACACCTAAATGGCAGATGCCCAGATCGCACTCAAACTCTTGTCAAAAGAGAGAACCCTAGAGACTTAGATGTTCAATTTTCATGTATCATCCACAGATGGCCTTAATTTGCAAGACATCAAGAACTTGTTGAACGAACGAATTCACGAACTTAACTGTGTTACAGGTATCTTCCTCCGTATACTTGTTTTCTGCCCAGAGAAGATGACAGGCGGCTCCTCGAGGATGGAGAAACAAGCAGGAGGACAACAGGCCTGGGTTTGATCCTCTCACCACTGTCTTCTATTGCCATCTTCACCATCATCATTTGCATCACAGAGAGGAGGCAGATGTCTCGAGACCCATTGAACTTTAGCGTCCTCAACGTAGTTGTGGAGGTTGTAAGGTACGTGCGTCCCGTCTCTCCAAGAAGCCTCGGAATCCCACTTTCTTCAGTTTCCTGTACCTTTATGCAGCTCGAACTTACACCACAAAGCAGTCATGTTACTCTCTCTCTCTCTCTCTCTGGAACTAACAGCTTTGTGAACTTGTGGTAGTGCATACGGAACTGTGGGGTACACAACGGGCTACAGCTGCAAGCGGCAAGTGAAGGCGGACGTGCACTGCAAAGACGTGTCGGCTGGGTTCTCGGCGAAATGGAGCAACAAAGGGAAGCTTGTGCTCATTGCTGTCATGTTCTTCGGCAGGTTGAAGAAGTTTAGCATGGGAGGTGGCAAATATTGGCAGTTTATATAGTTGTTCCACTGCGTCTTCTTGTATAATTTGTCTCGATCTCCAAGTCTGGTCTACAGTATTGTGTCCGTAATTTGGTCTTCCCATGACTTTTGTTTTTGTGTAAGATTGTTATATGTATAATATAATGTATGTAGATCTAGAATGATTTAGACCTCTTCAGAAGAATCCGATCAACTTAAACGTCCAAATATACATGCATCAAGACCCATCTCCCATTGCATCAAACCATCATAATTCTCTGAGACTTCATTCGCTTCTCGTGTCATTTTGATCATTGTGTTAGCTCCACACAAATCTGATTAATCCTGAGAATATACGTACACATATGTATCATTTTCTTACGAAGGAACTGAGAAGATTTGTATGCACGCTGTGTAGTGCTTATGGAAATGTGGGGTTCTCCCTAAGCCATGCTTACAACTCGTATCAGGGAACCGATTTGGGTCGTCCGGTTCGACCGGGTTGTACCGTTACCACCGTTTTATTACAGTTTTGGGAGTTCACTTACGCCGCGATGATCCCATGACACGTAGGACGCGGTCCCACTTAATGAATGAATCCCGACAGGTCATCAAGCCGCAAAGAAAGCAGGAGGAGGCGAGACAGCTGATCGAGGCACAAACCGACAAGTAAGCCGCAATAGCTTTTACGAGCAATACTTTTGCTACCTATGTCGATACCCAAGGCAATACCTGCAATTTTATTGGATACAAACGAGAGTTGATCTATTGGACGAGCAATAAAGGGGTACGAAAAAGTGTATGTACTCGGTGGAATACATATTTGTTGCTTTTCTTTTTCTCCACTGGGCGGTGCGGATCCAAATCAACCTCCATTACCCGACAACCAAAATCCCCAAATTACCTCTGCATTGTACCATATTCTTTGAACTGCCATCTACCAAGATCGAGATGGGAGCCCATGATAGGGGCATTTTAGTTAGTAATGGGAAGAAACGAGGGCATTGAATCGGACCCGCTCTTCCCCATCCCTCATCTTCTGTACCTTTTGTCTTTTTGCCCTTTTCCTTTGCTTTTCTATAACTTCCCATTGCTTTCCTTCGGACGTCGTATTGGAGCGCATCGGCTTCGGGAGGAGCGAAGGCAGGCGACGGCAACGGCGGGGAAATGAAGAAGAGCGCGTCGGAGCTGGTGCTGGAGGCGTTCCTGCGGCCGGATGGAGGCGATGGCGGAGAGCGGAACCCCCCTCGGCCTCCCCCTTCGTCCTTGGAGGAGTTACTCCTCCCCGGAGCTCTAGATTTCGGATTCGTCGATCGGGTGAGTTCCCTCTTTGATGATCCCTAAGATCTAATTGCGTCTCTTGTTTTAAGGCGTGAATCGAAGCAGGTTGGTGTAAGTGGCCATTCGACTGGTGGTGGGCGGCAGCTACTGAGCAGAGAGAGCCAGGCGTGGTCTCTGACGCCCAGGCACTCTAACATCTCGGTGAACATGGATACCCAATCCTCTATCTGTGGTATGTAAGCATAAAAACTGTTATATATTATATGTAATATAAAAAAAATATTTTTATGTTACATTAAAATCAAATAATATTTAATCAGTTTTACTATTTATACTTTTTAATGTCATCTAAAAAAATCTTTGTGTTATCTACACCATCTTTAGATCTAAAATAGAGTTTCCTTATTCTCTTTTCCTATATTTTAATTAGAACACTTAGATTGATGATTCAGGGAGATTAAGAGAAACACTGTAATTTCTCAACTGCATCCTTTATAAGATACATAGTTTAGTTGATTATATTTATTTATAAGCGAGAGCAGATCCTTTAAGAAATTCTATTATAATATGGAATTCTTTTTTATTGATTAATATCTGTCATCAGAATTCAATTAGTTTTATTATATATCTTATTCAATTATAAAAGGTCACATAGTATAATATTCTTACATTTTGTCCAATAATTGATAAGATATAAGAGATATTCAAAATCAAAATAAATAAAATAAAATTTATTTAAAAATAATTTTACTTAATTGAATTCTAAAAAAATTTAAAAAGCATTTTATACATGACTATGAATTTTAAAAACAAGCTAATAAATCTAATAAACATAATAACACTATATTAAATCCAACTATGAATGCAAATCATAGCGGTTATATATCATTAATATCATACTTGCTTCTATGTACCATAACATTGTTAGTCTTTCCTAACATAGTCTATAATGACCTATGGAATTTGTCTTATCAAGACAGTCCTATTATTACATTCAACTATAATATGTATAAACATAAATATAAATAAAATAATAAAAACAAATAATTTTAATTATACAAGAAAAAATATCAATAATAGCATCCACCTAAACATGCATTATCATATCTTTTATGGCTTACTCATAAGTTTCATTCTAAGAACATGTTCTTTAAATATTTTACACTATAAAGCTTTGGTAAATGGATTAGCAATCATCATAGTGGTGCTCAGGTTTTCTTTCTAACCACCAAGTACCATATCTTGATGTGACTAGAGTACTTGTAATTCTTAGAAAAGAAAACTGTTGTAGTATTGTCATAAAATATTTTCAACGACGTAGCAATTGAGTCGACCACACTAAATCCTGAGATGAAATTTCGTAGCTATAAAACTTGATTTGTGTTCTTAAAGCATGCCACAAATTCAACTTTCGTTGATAATGCACTAAGCGATTGTTTTACACTTTTCCAAGAAATTGCCCTACCGGTTAATGTGAATATAAATCCTAAAGTGGACTTTCTACTATCGAGGTAATTTATAAAATCAGCATCTGAATATCCCGTCACTTCAAGCTGATCTGATCTTCTGTATGTGAGCATATAATCTTCCGTCCCCTATAGATATCTCATTACTTTTTTTGCAACTTTCCAATATTCCATTCCTGGGTTGCTCTAGTATCTACTTAGTATTCCAACTACAAAATTGATATCTGGTCTTACATAGGTTTGAGCATATAATAAACTTCCAACTACGTACCCATAAAGAATATTTTTCATTTGATTCCTTTTTAAATCATTTTTCGGGCACTAGTTTTGATTGAATTTTTCACATTTAGTAATAGATGTATCATTGATTGAGCAAAGCTGCATATTAAATCTCTCTAAGATACGATTAATATATTCTTGAGATCTATCCCTGAATATTTTATGCCAATAACATAGGCTATCTTATTCATATCAATCATCTTAAAGTTCTTGTTGAGAATTATCTTGGTTTCATACAATAAACCAAGATCACTACTGATAAGTAAAATATCAGCCACATATAAGACTAATATAATAAACTTACTCTCACTTACATTCAGATATATGTACTGATCAATAGTGTTTTCCTTAAATCTGAAGGAAGTAATGGTATTACGAAACTTTATATACTAGGAAGCTTGTTTAAGGTCATAAATGAATTTCTTAAGTTTACAAGCCTTACTTTCTTTTTCCTTTTCTATGAATCATTCATGTTGTTCCATATATGTTTCCTCATCCAAATCCCTATTCAGAAATATTGTTTTTACATCTATCTGGTGTAACTCAAGATCATAATGAGCTATTAATACCATGATGATTCTTAATGAGTCCTTTCTAGAAACTAGAGAAAAAGTCTCATTGTAGTCGATGCCTTCTTTCTGAGAAAAATCTTTAGCCACAAGTCTAGCTTTATATCATTCGATATTGTCCGCTGAATCGCATTTTGTTTTAAAGACTCATTTACAATCGACTCTTTTACAATTATTGGATAATTTAATGAGTTCTCAAACACCATTCTAGTTCATTGATTTTAATTCTTCTTTCATTGTATTATACTATTTTTTAAAATCATTACTTTCTCTAGCTTATGAAAACGATAAATAATCTCTTTTTATTCCTATATCATAATCTGATTCTTGTAGATATACCACATAATCATCAGAAATGATATGTTTCCTTTTCCTTTAAGATCTTCTCAAAGTTGCTAATTGTGATTGTTCTACAAGATCATCAGCGGCGACATCAACGTCATATGAGAGTTCATCGATATTCTTTTGTTGTTCACTCTCGTTAATTCTCTCATTGATTTGAAGAATAACAATTTATTGAATATGAGATGATATGAGAGAATTAACTTGAATCTTCTCAATATCAAAATTGATAATTTGAGATTTTTCACTCCTATTGATTGTGTCATTTTCTAAGAATCTTGTATTACCAAATTCTACTATCCTCGTACTATGATTAGGGTAATAAAATTTGTAACCCTTAGATTTTTCTAGATAACTAATAAAATATTCAGAAATAGTTCTTGGATTTAATTTATTTTCATGTGGATTGAATACTCTTATCTCTGTAGGATACCCCTAGATATGTAAATATCTCAAATTGGGTTTCCTACCAATCCATAACTCAAATGAAGTTGATGGAACCAACTTACTAGGAACCCTATTCAAGATGTGCATAGCTGTCCTAAGAGCTTCACCACACATTAACTTAAGTATAGATGAATAACTCATCATGCTCCTAACCATATCCATAAGAGTACGATTTCGTCTTTCAACAACACTATTCTGCTATGGCACACTTGGTAATACATACTGAGCACAAATACCCCGTTGTACTAGGAATCTAGCAAAATGACCAACATTCTGATCGGAGTCATCATATTTGTCATAAAATTCATCACCCCTATCAGATTTGACAATTTTAACTTTTCTATCTAATTGTCTCTCGACTTCATTTATATAGACTTCAAGAGTGTTAACGGCTTGAGACTTTTCATGTATTAGATAAACATAGTCATATCTTGATATATCAGCTATAAATATGATGAAATACATTTTTTCACTAAAACAGGGAATATAGAGTGGTCCACGGATATTAGAATGAATAATCTCAAGGAGTTCTTTACTTCTTGTGACATTTTTCTTTATATATTTAGTTTTCTTTCCCTTAATACAATCTATACAAACATCAAAATCAGTGAAATCTAAATATTCTAGAATGTTATCCTTCACTAAACTTTTAATTCTTTCTTTGGAGATATGTCTTAATCTTTTATATCATAGTATAGAAAATCTTTCATTATTGAAACTATATTTAAATTCAACACTTGATTGCAAGGTCAATAATATCTTTGCAAACTCAAAATTTAAATTAATTCTGTACAAATCATCACACAGAATTCTAAAACCAATTTTTATTGAATCATAAAATATACTGAGTTTATCATTACCAAGATAAAGACAATATCCTAACTCATCAATTCTAGATAGAAAAACTAAATTTTTAGAAATAGTATAAACATAACATGTCAACAAGATCCATTAAATGACTCGTCTCTAAGCATAGGCGATAAGTTCCCACTGACGTCACTTTCGCTTTCAGACGATTTTTCATAATGATAAATCTTTCATGTTTTTTTGGTTTCCGGATTGAAAAAAATCCTTACATATTATTGGTAATATGAGTTGAAGCACCATAATCAATCCACTAAGTATCCGAATGAACTATTGTAATGTTTGATTCGAAACATACAAAGGTTGAGTTTATAGAGTTTATACCATTCTTTTCAAATAAAGTCTTACGTTTAATGCAGTCCTTCTTCATATATCTTTTCTTGCCACAAAAGAAACATTTTACTGTAAAAGCTTTCTTTTTATTAGTCTGTTTAACATTTCCTGACTTGACAAATTTTTTTGATGGATGATATTTTAATTTTATTTTCTTATTACTAACTCCTTGAGTAGTAGTTATGACATTATATGAACTTTCCTGTCTTAATCTCAATTCTTCCTGAATACACATACTAATTAACTCATTCAAGTCCCACTTATCCTTATTTGTATTGTAGTGAATCTTGAATGTGCTCATCAATAATCATGCATAATGCTTTAAGTTTTACAGCTTTATCTGTCGTATTGAGGATGTGATCCTGAATTCCTCAAATGCTATCATACTAAGCCGTAGTCAGTTGTTTCATTAGCGTGCCAGCCAATGACTTATCAACATATTTAAATCTGTCTTCAATAACCTTTAAATATTCCTGTGCGCTAGTTGCAATATGTAATAAAGTCTTTATGTTATTTGTAATCGTCATTCTTATAAACATTAAACTAAACCTATCATATCTTTCCCAAGCTTTCATTTTGTTAACTTGTTCTACAATACTTTCATCAGTCAAGTCTACGGGCTTTTCAACAAGCAATGCTAAGTCAAGATCTAATATGCCTAGTGTGAATTTCACATGCTCTAATCATTCTAAATAATTTGTTTCATATCCTTTGTATTCTAAATAATAATATTATTATAAATAATATAATGATAAATTTAATTTAATTTATACTAAGTAGTTTAATAATATAATAACAACCATAATAATTATTGAACATTAATCAACAAAAGAAAAAACTCATATAATAATCATTGTAACATATAAATCATGCCTTCACGTGAAAGATAAATATTATTTCATAATTTCAAATATATACATGCGGATAACCAAATAAATATCTAAGAACAAAAATAAGATTTTATTTACCATATACAAAATATATGAAAGCTATAAAAGAAAATCATAATTTATAATTTTTTAATCAAAATTAAATTCAATCAAATAATCAAAATATAATCATAATCAAATTCAATCACAATTATAATAAATCATATTTATCAATTTTATAATTGAGGATATGAATTAGAAATTCTCAATTTCATAAGGGCAAAATTATAATTTTATTAACAAGATATAAGGTGTAATTATGATATTTCTAAAGGGCATAACTATCAAAATATTAAAAGACATTAATAAAAAACAGAAGGGCAAAGCTATAATTTGATCAAAAGGCAACCCTAGGACAAAACTATAATTTTGCCAAAACCCTTCTGCCTACGCTATCGTCGCCTGCATGGCTGCGGTCGTCATTTACGTGGCTGTGGCCATTGCCTACACACGGTTGTCGTCGCCACGATGTTGCCTGTGCCCGCGTGCGGCCGTTACCTACAGGTGGCTATTGACTATGTAACCCCCTTGCAGCACTAACTAGGCATGCGACCACCGCCAGGATGAGGGTTCTGCCTGCACGTGACCGTCAAGTGTGCATATTGCCGCCCATGTAGCTTTCTACGCACCTGTGTGTGGTTGCCGCCCACGCCGAACCGCCGACTACGCTATCGGCCCAGCGCTCGACTCGCGGCCATCGCTGCGATGCGCGATTGCTCACAACTGTTGATACTGCTGCGACGCGCATGATGCCCGATGCAGCTGCTGCCGCTGCGACGCACACGCTGCCTGACGTAGCTGTTGCCACCAGCAGATCCACTGGTCGTACACAATAAGGTTGGCAGCAGTGCTGCACAGCGACCCTTCGCAATCATTGAAGATCACATTACAAGGAATCTAACATTGCCTATAAGCAGATCATTTAAACATCGTAAATTAGAAAACAACATATCTAAGGTATTAGATTTCAAGAATCTAGGCTCTGATACCAATTGTAAGTATAAAAACTATTATATGCTATATGTAATGCGAAAAAAAACTTTTATACTAGGATTGAAATCAAATAACATTATATTAGTTTTACGATATGTACCTTTTGATGTCATCTGAAAAAGATCTTTATGTAATATGTAAGGACACCGTTTTTAGATCTAAAACAACGGTTAATCTGCAAGGAGAACTAGACTCTCCTTTTCCTCTCTTCCTATCCTTTCACAAAACCCATTCAAGGAGATTGAAAGAGAAATTATAATCTCTGTACGTCCTATATGAGATGCGTTGATTAGTCCTTAGATGTCCTGTTTATTTATAAACAAGAGTAGAGGGTCTAGGATAAGTTATTATGAGAGTTCCTCTCATCAAAGACATCCCTTAAGGAATCCTACTATAATATAAACTTTTTTTCTGTTAGTTAATATCTGTCATCAGAATCCAATTATAAAGAGTCACATAATCTAACATGGTATACTTTCATGATCCTTCATTTATGTTTCTTTCTTCGTGGAGATAACATGTGAGAAGGACTATGATCGCTCAACCCGGCTAGATGAGTAAAAATAGATAAATAAAATAAATTGAACCGAACATATTTAATCGGAGTTTCTTTTAGTTTCAACTTTTGGAAATAGCACCCTTCAAAACATTAAAATATCACATATATATTTTTTGTAAAATATTTAAACCCTACATATATGACATTGGCATTAGCATTCGTCGAGTAAGTTCAGATTAACCAATAGGTTTCTAATGAGTTTGAAAAAGATTTAAATTTCAAATATCTAATGTGCACTTAAATTTTCACTGATTATTTTATTCATCATTTTAAAATTAAATTTATACTAGCAAATACAAAAATTACTAATTTAGAAGGCATGCATATGCAAATATTTTTTAAATGAATAACATCAGTTGCAGTTCAACATCAATATATGCTGACGATCAATTGATAGGGGTAAACCAAAGTGATATACCTGTAAGTTTTCGAGTTTGACAGGGATATGTATGTAAAAGTCAAGTTTGGAAGGGCAAATATAAAAATCACTTACTCTTTATGGATATATTTGCAATCTTAACTTCTTCTTTTTTTTAAAAAAAAGGTACTAGTGCATAAAATTTTTGTGATATTCATATTAATTCCCCAAACATTTACATATTCATTTAGTACCTAAATCCTTAACCATGTTTATCTTAAATTTTGTTATTTCACTTGCCTACAATAAAAGAGTAATACATTAAGGACATTCACAAAGATTTGTTGTTTTTTTAATAATGTATTATGTTGGCAAGAGAACTCTCTCTCAAAATTTGAGGTAATAATTTGTGACCCTTTTCTCTTTAGTAGGTAATCTATCCCTTTCCAGCTTTCAGGGATTAGAGCCTGAGAAACTGTATCCTTTGAGATCTTAGAAGATATGGTAAATTTTCTCTAAGGAAAATGATGATGATGAGAAACAAAGCATATATTAAAGAAAAGTATCCCTCTTTTAGATAAAATTTACTTCTATTTGAATTAGATGATATGAGTCCTTCGAATTAGATGATATGTATTATATGTAATTATGTTTATGGGCACATAGGATACTAGTCTTATTAGTATTTTGTGTACGTATTGTATAGAACTGTATAATATGCAGTTATTGCTCCATTTTGCTCATCTTTAACGACCAAATCTGAGAATAAATTGAAATTGCCAGAATTTGAGTTCCATTTTTATCTTTTATCTAATCTTCCAATCCAGGGGAAAAAATGACAACTGTTTAGTTTCATAAATTCTTTGAACCCAGATTCTTTGTCACTTCCTCAGAAAGTCTCTGGACATTAGGGCCCCTATGCCAGAGATGCTAGTAGGATGGGCCCTTTTGGTGGATCTACAATACTGTTTGTCTCAGGAAAGAGAGCCCAATGCCTAAACAAATTGCTTTATTTCCCCATTCTTTTCTGACATCTGACCAAGTAGTTAAATTCAATTAAATTTTATCTGCTTTAGGAAAATTCAGTTGAATTGATTTAGAAAGCCAAGCAATTGTATAAAGAATATATGCACATGGAATGAGTTTGTAAGTCAAACAAAACAGCATTTTATGTCACTTGTGAATTCTGGTTCTACAACTAGATTTGCAAATTGGACCTTTTGTCTTTGGATTAGAAAAACCTATGCATAAATATTAAAAAATTCTGTGAATTATATAACTCATGAAACTTCAACATTCCAAAAGCAGGATTTCAATGCCTGAGGTCTGAGGTTTCTACTCTATGAACAAGCTGAAATGTCTGCCTTCTATGTTTCAGATGGGACACCAACTTCATCTCATAAGCTTTTGGCAAAAGCAAATCAAACTCTTGGGGGAACGAGCGGGTCTGAGCAATCAGATGAGGAGTCCCTAGAAATTGAAGGTGGGCCTTGTGAACAAAGCACAGATGCTATAGACATCAAACGCTTGCGAAGGTAAATCAAGTACTATGATTGCTTCATTTGAGAAGGTTTTTGACATTGCATTTTGCTCAAAACAGTTGTGTGCCTAGGCATGAAACAATCTATGTGTGCTCTCACCTCTCAGGATCATATTATTCTTGTTCATACAGAAAGAGAGAAATTGAGCCAAAGGGAAAATACACTCGTATGGTTCCCTTTGGCCATTTTGGTTTGTCCGTCGATTATATATTGATGATTCTTCTAATCTTCGTAATTATTGGTCTTCTCTTTTTCTTTTTACACAGATGACAGAACTCTGTTTTCTATCCTCCCCATCTTTCTTCTTTCTCTTCTCACTTCTCACCTTTTCATCATTCTTCCTTCTTACTTAAGTATTATGTCCTACCCTGTTTTCCTTCTTTCCTTAACTTATTCTCCTCCACCCATATTTCTAGGGAAGGACAATCTCGTCTCTTATTCATGAAGAAGGGCATCAACCAACCTGTATTCATCCATGAGGGGGTCACAAGAAGGTGCTTTTTTGTAAATTAATAAACAAATATGGTTTTTAATATATCTGATGCTATTTCCATCTATCGAGATTATAATGACTCAGGAATTTTGGATGTTCCAATCATGAATGCCGAAGCAGGTGCTGCAATGTAATTAATTATACATAAAGAACAGAACATGAAATGGAATTATTGAGAAATAAGGGTAAAAATCTTATTGTTGCAATAATTTAAGAGCACAAAATGAAATTAAGAGAAGACGTTTTAATTGATTTGGGTGAGGGTACTTTCAAGCAACAAAAATATTTAACCTTTCAGAGGGTTATGCAATATTGTCGATGCTGGTCCACGGTTTATCTATATCCAAGGTTTTATCTATATCCAAGGTTTTTATTTAACCTTTCAAGCAACAAAAATACTAGATAGCATGAACTCTTTCTTTGAATGGTTTTATCTATATCCAAGGTTTATGCAATATTGTCGATGCTGGTCCACGGTTTATGCTCTGACCGAAGTGCATAGTACACAGGATGCGTAACTTGTAAAGAACAATAATCTATTCATTACTTGTCAAAAGGAAAATGCAGTGAGGAATTATTTATTGTTTGTGATGTTCTTTTATTGTGGTTCTTGTTTTTAAGGATGGTGTCCAATCGGGAATCTGCTAGGCGGTCAAGAAAGAGAAAGCAAGCCCATCTAGCTGATCTCGAGTCGCAGGTAAACTTACTGAAAAGATAGTCTTCACTTTCATGTTGCTTTAGTGGTAGATGTGAATACCCAAAGAATCTATGCATGTTTTCTCGCTAAGAGCAAAATTTTCACAGCAGGGTGCACTAATATATGGAACAAGATCACTGAAAGATCTCTTTCGATGAATAACGAAAAGTTACTATTGCTTTTATCTTTTAATGTTCATGAGCAGGTTGATGCATAGAGTAAATGAAAATGGAACTGTAGATACAGGGAAATCTGCAAGCTTGCATCCTACAACACTAAGTCATCCCTTTGTTGACCTTCCAGATTTGCGGTCTAAACAAAATTTGTAAGAGCATTTGACGACATCGTCATTTATTCTCCAAATTCATCTTAAAGAACACTGTTTTTCCATAGTTCAATACCATCATATTTCATGCATGCAAACTTGTCTTACCATCCTCCTTTCACAATAGCACACAATATCAGGTTGAGAGTCCCTTTATCCTATTTCTGTCCTCCTTCCAAATTCACATAAGTTCCAAAAGAACAAAGAAAAAGGCAGGTTTTTCTATTTATGCTTCCTAGGTCTGGAAAATTTTCAGGAAGTTCTCATTCATCTTTAACTGATTATTAAAGGAGCTGATCAAGAGAAAAATGTATTAGTCAAAAATGTTTGTTATGATTTGTTAAATTGAATGATAAGTCTGGATCAAATTGATCTGAGTTAACCTATATCAGATTGGACATCAATTGCATCCAAAGGCATATGCTTATTCAGTTATGGGGATAAACTCAGTATATGTTATCTGACTCTTTCAATCCTTATTTCAATCTCTTTACATATGAATATTCTCTTGACATTTTTGCTTTTATTTTTGTCAGGTTGACCTACTTCGAGGGGAAAATGAATCTCTATTCAAGCAACTAACAGATGCCAATCAGGAATTCACTGAAGCTGTCACAAATAATCGGGTTCTCAAGTCAAATGTGGAAGCACTGAGAATTAAAGTAGCCTCTTCTTTACTCCTACATATTTGATAGAAAAAGCAGGAATATAAATATTTGGCTCACGGAAATAGAACAAGCAAGAGAACTACTACTCTGTTCAACTGTTGCAGGTGAAGATGGCAGAAGATTTGGTCACCAGAGGTAGTTTAGCTTGCAGTCTAGATCATCTCCTCCAAAGCAGTGTTGGGTCACCACAGTTCCTAAACCCTCAACTGCCATGTGAGGAATCATCAGATTTCCTCCCCACCATCGAATTCCAAGGAGATGACTCGAGTTACATTGGCATCCCAACTGATGGACGAGCTCAGAACGTAGGAATGGAGACTGGTAATGCCAAAACTGCAGCACTCAGGTCTGGGTTGAGCAATGCAAGCATAGGCAGCCTACATAATAGAATTCCTAGTGAAGTGGCAAGCTGTGTGACTGACATCTGGGCGTGCGATTCCAACACAGGCACAATGCTCAAGTAGCATCCTAATCTTCCATGTACCACTGTTGAGGACTTTACATTATTTTGGTTTGTTTGTTTGTCTTATGGACTTTTAAGGAATGGTGAGGATTTAGGTTTGATCAGTTAAGTTTCAATCAAATTCAAAAAAAAAATCAACTTTTGATCAATTTTGATTTTGATCAATTTTAATCTTCACCAGCCTAATTGGGTGAATGGTCAGCCCAAATCTATGAGCACAATTTGATAACTATGAGTTTATCTAATTAAATAAGATTAATTGGTATCTGATTTTTATTGTACAGATTCATAAATATTATAATATATTCAAACAACAGATAATCTAAAATATTAAAATATTAAATAATAATAATAAGTAAAAAGATTACATGTCAAATCACACGTGTCATCGCTCATGTGATTAACTTGCAGGACACCTATGATTAGCATGAATATATTATGATATCCATGGATTTATACAATGAGAATTAGATCATGATAAGATCACGATAATGAAACCGATTCGTCTTTAAACATAGACCCTAAATAATCCCGGTCATAGGTTACTCGAGAAGGACATCGAGATAACTAAATAAACTAGTGTAATGCATACTCGTCCATATGATGGAGGCCACTGGTCCCATAGTTGCTCGTGTGGAAACATTATGAATACAATACAAGTGCTCAATTAGAGAATGAGTTCACTAATTACTCCGCTCATTGAATGCTAGATGGTTGATGATACCTTATTATCAGACAGTAATTCCATCGTCCTAGTGGTGTATCTGGTCCTTAGACTTGAGACACCAAGAATATTCTGTATGAGTACTCCATCCTTTGATACCGGACTTATAGGTCTTGAAGTTTCAGATCTAATACAATCGATAATTGGGAGTAGTAACCAACCTTATGAGAGCTATTGGGTATCAATAGAGGATCATCCGCTCTCGATGTCATGAGAGGAATATCTCATATGTTTTTACTCAGACAATCCTTGTCCAAGGTCATTTGGATTGAGAGAGAATGAGTTCTCCAGAAAAATCCGATTAGAACGAGACTCGAGTAGAAACCATATTGGCTTGACAACACCATGCTCGGTATACAGTCTCTAGGATATTAGATGGATAAGAGACTATAGATACACGGTAATTAAGGGCAGACAAGTTCAAATGATTAGATTCCCTTGTATCATTTGGGGACTACAGCATAATAACCTAGTACGTCCGTAATTGATAAGTCGAGTGAATAATTATAAAGATAATAATTATGAAAATAATTCACTAAGCTAGGAGGAATTCTGACAAGTATAACTCATAATCAGCTCGGTATTGAGCCTAAAGGGTCACACACATATGATAGGTGTTGCGACGAGTAGAGGTTCGAATATAAGATATCCGTTGGAACCCTTATCTTATTGGATATCCAATAAGCCCTTGAATTATTGGATCCTATGGATGAGATCTAATAAGAATTAATAAAATATTATTGAGTAAACATCCACTAATTTAAAAGGCTTGGATAATTGGATGGAGATCTAGTATTAAATATGGTAGGATCCATTATGGTTAAATTGATATAGAACCTTTATAAATAAAAAAGAACCAAAGGATCATGGGCTAGGTTCTTTTGGTTGTCACCTCCTATTATCCTTTCTCCTTCTCCTCCTCAACCTACAACCCCCTATATAGGGTGTATGGACAACAAGAAAGGGCACTCCCTTTTTAATTACATGGTGCACGAAACGATGAAGATTGTGTAGCTATTTGAGGAGCATCTCCGTAACCCTTATCGTATAGATCACCGCTTGAGAGGACAGTTGACCTCCTTCATCCTCTCCCATAGATCAGGTTTTTAGGGATATACAATATTCCTATGTAACACAATCTCCCTTGTACATATTGTTTTTCATTTTCATAAATTTTTACGTACTAATTTTTGCACAAGGATAGAACCTTCTTTTCTGTGAGAATTCTAAGATTTTTGTTTTCTGTTCTTCCATTGCGCATGTGATGTCACCCCAGATTTCCCAACACAAAGGTCGGGCTAATAATATTATAGTAAATAAAAAAATATGACATTGATAATATACAATCATTATGACTTATTTTGATAGTCAAACTTAATATGATATTATGTTTATTAGGTTTATTGATTTATTTTATAAAATTCATACATATTATAAAATATTTTTTAAAAAAATTAAATTTTAATTAAATAAAATTATTTAAAAAATTATTTTATTTATTTTGATTTTAATTTTTTTATACCTTACTAATTAATATTAATGGGTTGAGAAAATATTAAATTATGTGACCTTATCTAATTAAGTAAAATATATTATGAATATAATTAGATTCTAATTATGAAAATTAATTATAGTAAAAATTTTTAAGAGAGAACCATGATGGAAAAGACTCCTAATTACTTACTAGACCCTATTCTCTCACTTATAAAAGGATAGAACCTCTGAGAGATTAAAGACAAATAAGAGGAAATGAAGATACTTGACAATATTAAAAGATTACAAATCTTCTCCCATCACCCCTTATCTCTAATCCATCGCTTAAAGGATAAGATGAGAAGAAGACAAATCTAATTCTACACCCCCAAATCAGAAAAAAATTTCAAATAATATTGAAAGATACATATCATAAATTTGATCTATTATTGTTTGATTTTAAATTTTGATATTAAAATTATTTGTATAGTAAAATTATAAGAATAATTTTTATGCTTACAAGTACCACATTGAGAAGATGGAGCCTTACAATGAGTCCTAAGTGTGGGGGTGACAAGCATGGAAGCATGCATAAGGCCACACAATGAGAGACGAGGACAAAGGCTATGAAAGCGATTAGTGAACGAGACGATAGGCGCAAAGGGCGTAAGGCACCGAGAAGTAAAGGACAAACAATGCCTCATGATAAAAACAAAGGGTTAAGACAACGAGTAAGCATGACCGTATAATAAGAGCAAAAGATAATGACAATGAATGTGATGAGTGAAGCATCACAATGAGAACAAATGGTAAAGACGACAAACATGACAAACAATAGAGTCAAACAACTCCACACATAGGTAAGGGCATTTACAAAATTATAAAAACTTGAAGGTCCTATATGAAAAAAAAAAAAACATATGGCACATATATATATATATATATATATATATATATATATATATATATATATATATATATATGCACGCACACACATCAAAAATCCAGTCCGAGAAAGTTCTCTGGATTTCAGGAATCCAATGGTACAACTTACAGAGAGACGTTAGGAAGTTCATAGAACAACCTCTACAAGAAGTATTATTTAAAAATTGACGAGAAACTGTAAAATGGGAACAAACAACTAGGAATAAGGCAAGAAATAATTGCATGACAGAATACAATATTTATAATAGTATCTATAGTTAACTATTTACTAAGGATGAGGAAAATAATATTAAAAAAAATTGTACCATCAGCATTTGTTGATTTCCTAGCCAGCTGAAACCAATCGCCACAACATCGGACCAATAATTCTCAGTTTGTCACCACGTAAAGGCAACTACAATCACCCACCAATCAGATTGACTTCCACTAAACCAACATTAAATGCATCATGTTGTAACCAGAATAGAGAACCAATATTTCCCAGTTGTCAGTCATATTATTCTCGACCACAGGTCCAATTCAAAAACCTATTCCATCATATAATAAACCTGGTTAGCCCAAATCAGCATCGTCAGTAACATGTTAAATCAAGAGGTGATAATAATAATAATGCAGGTGCATACCCTTGACTCCATGTAACCTACGCTAGACTCCTACAAAATACATATACTATACCAGCTTTAAGGTTTACACTATATATATACCCTGACCTTTAGCTCACAGCTGCTCCCAAGAAAATAACTGGGAGAAATCCAGCAGGTCTCATTAGGGAGCTTGCCTCAGGTGAGTTAGCAGGGCCACCATGCAACTTTGATTCACCTTTCATGATTCAGGAGCAGCTGTGACCACAAAATGGTATAAACTTTTAGCAATGAACACAAAATTATAGCAAGCTCACGATATCTGCAAAAGCATTTGAACTTTGCAAAAATTATATTTGAAATGACATTTTATATGCCAAGAGTACAACTACAGATTCTTTTAAAAGAAAGGATGATCAGCGCAAATAGTCAGAGAATAGGTACATCAATTAGCATTGGTTTATTTAGGTCATAAAAAGATGCAAATCAATGTACTAGTATATCAGATTTATAAGTCCCACTGCAGAGATTACACTAGCACTTAAGAGTATGAATAAAGCCCTTCTTTAAAAATTGCATCACGTAAAAAAGAATGCATCACGTACAGACTGGAAGACACCTGCTAACAAGGTCTACATAGAATTGGGAGCCAGAACAAGGGCACAGTGTAAACCATCTTATAACATCTTTCATATTGGTTCAAATTTGCTAGCAAATTAATATGTAGAGAATGAATCTGTACCTTCACCACATAACTGTTCAACCCGAGCAACTATATGTTTCCCATAGGTGTATTTCTTCAGAGCCTGCAGATGAACTCTTATGCGATCCAGCAAGATTTCACATTGTTTATCAGTGCTCATTTCAAGAATCTTCTGGACCACATAATTTGCAAACCGATCCTTCATCATTACCTGAAAAAGGGCTGCCAAAGGTTAAACATAAGAACTGGGGATGGTAAACTTGGAAAGAACTCTACATCCCTAGTAGAGAAGAATAATTCTGTCGACCAAGCTGCATGGAGATCTTGTAAAACATCATCTAATCCACAAGAAATAACCAAAAAAGCTCTTGAAGAAATAGTCAATCAAGTCAATGATCGGAAACAAACTGTAACAGCCTCAATTGGTACTTACTATGTTTGGTCAATGGTTTCCAGAAACGTTTTTAAGGACTTCGTTGCTACAAAAAAAATGACAATGATTTTAAATTGATAATGTGGAAAAAAGAAATTTTTTTATTCCTTTTTAAGATTGCATGCACACATAGGAGCATGTGTATACTATTCTCTAATAACAATTTACTACAAGCATATTGCTGCTACCTTAGAAATGGCAAACATAGCCAAATGGACGTGACACCTTGTATATAGATACTTTTGCAGAACTAGTGCACATGGAGTGTCTAAAACCAAATTAGGACCAGG